TTGGCTTCAGACCTGGTGAGTCAACCATTGACCAGATATTCACCATGCGGAGAATCTTGGGAAGAGACCCGTGAAAAAAGGGGATCGACACTCACCACCTATTCGTCGATTTTAAAGCCGCCTTCGACGGCACGCCGATATGTCTGAATTTGGCATAGCCGCAAAAATTATACAACTATTTAAACTGACCTTAAGCAGAACTTAAAGCTCCGTCAAGATCGGGATGGACCTCTCCCAGACAAGGTGATTCCTTATAGTGTGACTTTTTTAACTTATAGCTGAAGAAAATAATACGAGCTGCAGAGATGGATAGAGAATGTACTCAGAATCACGCTTGCCAACAGGAGCTACTTTAGACTAAGTAGGCAATTGAAAAGAAAAGTTCTCTCTCGGCAAATGAAAACCAAAATCTACAAGTCGCCCATCATACCCGTCCTACTATAAGATGTAGAAGCTTGGACGTTGTCTACATCCGATGAGTCGGTTCTAAGAGTCTTCGAAAGAATAGTTTTGCGAACAACTTATAGTCATTTGCGCAATGGTAACGACAAATATCGCAGAAGATGGAACGATATGATTTACGAGCTCAACTATGACATTGACATCCTTCAGCTATTGAAGAAACAGTGGCCACGCTGGCTAGGTCATCTCCGAATGTATCAAATGATCAATGTTCAATATTTATTGTATTTTCTTTGGAACAAGAAGATTTCCCACTGTAGGATACCCAGGAAGAGTAAATATAAAAAATGTTATACCATTCGATTCCTTGAACAATTTTTAATCAAATGCCCAAATTTGAAGACAGCCGCAGTAGCCGGGTGGTTAGCATTGGGGATTACCATTCGGAGGGCCGAAAAAAGTTATTAAAAATCAAAGCTTCTCATAGAAAAACCATCAAACCATCAGCCGTTCGTAGGCGGCTTAGTATAAACTGTAGGTCCCTCCATTTATTGGGAAAACATCAAGATGCAAAACCACAAATAAGAGGGGGAGCTCGGCCGAAAATCGCTTCAGTAATTACAAAGTGCCAATTATATACATATAATATCCTTGACAACATAGAAATTATAGAGTGAAATAAGAAAAGCGCGGATTTTTAGTACTTTTACCCAGAGACAAAAGCAACTGCTATTTTTTCGTGATCGAAAACGTTTCCCTTAAGAAATACTTTTTACCTTTCTTCATTAGAGATATTTTTAATAAATATTTTTTTTTGGAATATATTTTTTTTTTTTTTTTTGATGTATTACTGAAAGCAATTCATTTACGTCTTCTTACCTTTTTTTTGTTTTAACCCATTTGTTGAAGGAAGACTTTCAAAAACCTTTGTCATACGCTTATGACGTAGTAATAACCCCCCAACATCACTGTAGATTGGTTCCGAGTTATAGAAAGCGCAATTTTATAAATTAATACAATTTTAATAAAACTCAATAGACGTAATGAAGGAAGAAATTAATTATGAACTGCACCACAATGGGCAACGGGAGAAAAATTTCGTTGAGAATACTGTTATGTATTACTTAAAAGTAAAAATCTTTTTTTTTTTTACAACACAACAGTTACTGCCAAATTTTTTATACATACTTCTTAAAATAGTTGAGTGCGTTGTCCCAATTTTACTTTTATATAAAACTCACCTTTTTTATGATTTATGATGACAGATTAATGAAAGTAAGTTATAAATCATAGAATATCTGAAACTGCTTGATCAACTTTGATTTCGAACGATAATAATATGGCTTGTAACTCTTCGTGATAAGATAGTCAATTAAAATATATGTACGTTCATTTTTGACGCAATAGAACTGGTGCGTATGCTATTCCAAATGAAATGAATTTTCATCAAACTAAACTTGGCACAATAGTAAATGGGCTTCTTAACGTAGTAGCTGATACCGAAAGCTATTAAAAATTCGTTCAGCATCATATTTACTGCTTCTGCTTCGTCATTGAATAAGAGGTCAGCTGTATAGGCTGGGTATTAGTGCTGATAAGCCCAGTTCTTTCATTTCCTCCTTCGATGCTAGGACCAGGCTCGGTACTTTTTTGTTCTCGATTGTGATATGTGCACAGAGTGTAAAATTATAGAGATAGATAGACCAATCGAAAACTACTTATATATATATATAATTAGCGCTTTATAACCGCTGAAGTTATTTTCGGTCGAGCTGCTTCTACAATGGAGGGACCTACAGTTTATGCTGAGCAGCCTCCGAACGGCTAATGGTTTTTTATGAGGAGCTTTATTAGTTTATGTCAGAAATAAGCTCGGAGAGGTTGACATTCCCTGCCGAGGTGCGACCGCAATTAGAAAAATTAGCTTAATTTTTTGTTAAAATTAAATTTCTATAACTTTTTTGATGTTGGTAGGACGCCAAGATTTGAACCCGGGTCTTCCGAATTGCAATATGCAATGCTAACCACTCGGCTACCGCGACCGCAGGAATGATATATTTTGATACAGGAGCAAGTTGACGCCCATCTGCTATATAACGGTAATTTCGAAAAATATGAAATTGGCGTTAATTCAATAACTGGCTGCTCAATTCAATTTATATTTTTTTAAGGACACTCCTAATGAATGGGAAAGTATTGCACTAACCACTAGGGTAAAAAGGTACATATGTCTCAGAATACTTGCTGTCGGTGTGAGTTTTTTTACTCACTCTTTTGTTTGGATTAATCTAATATCCATTTTTAATTGATTTTTAGGTATTCATACAATTATTGAAATAAGGTCTTCTATAAGCAGTTTTTCAAGACTTTATATCAGCACTGAAAAATAATTTTGAAATGCTTTATATAATATAAACGCTCAAATAAAGCATTATATAAAGAACATATAGTCTATAAATAAAAACTATTAAAGAACAACAACAAAAAATATTTAATTTTTAATTAATTTAATTTAATTTTTAATTAAATAATATAAATTATGTATATCAGTCTTTGTTTCGAATTTCAATTAAGAATATATTTATATGAATAATAATAATACACGTTAGGTACATCAGGAAGGAAAGACAAAATTGTAAAATTCAGTCAAAAATAAATATAAATTAACACTATTAATTCTTTTCAGGACATCCAGTTTTTAAAATTATATAATTAAAAAAAAATGTATTTAATACTTATAATTACATACTCGGATCAATTCAATTCACACACGCAAACACATATTCTATATATATGTATACATTTATATATTGTTGTTCAGATGTTTTTTTCCAACACTTTTTCTCATCGACTTCTCAAAAAGCTGCCGCCCTTCTGCCGGGAAAAAATAAAAACCAAAACACATTATTTTTAGGAAAAATGTTGTTTAAGCTTTTGGAACGTTTCTTACCGCACAAAACCTTGTTTATGAGTTTAAGCTTAATTAAAGCTCTCTCTTCTCTTCTTCCATCGAAATTAAATGGGAGTATTAGGTCATCAGTCATAATTTTTCGGAAAACCTCAAACACAGCACCAACAAACTTACCATATTTTTAAACTTTTGAAAATTTTTCTGAAAATATGCCTTTTCAACACTCAAAGCATCTCGTTTATTAGACATTTTATATATAATGTTTTATATATTTTTTAATTAATCGTTTCTTTATTATTTTTGTTTTCAACAATTTTTTTTTAATTTGTTTACTTTGTTTACAATATCCAATTGAATATGAAAATATATGTATACATAAAATTAAAAAGATATGTGAATATGTTAGAATATCCCTTATACCGTTCTTGCAGGGCAATTTAAGTGTATTACAATTTTCAAACCAGTGGCAGCTCTTCTCAATAATTCTCCACCATTCAAGTTTTCAAATATCTTTATTCCGACATCCATATATTAATATACATATAAATTGTAACGTATTTTATCAATTCTTTAAAAGTAAAATATGTTAAACAGGTGGCAACGCTGCTCAGAAATGTTATTTCATTAAATAAAAAAACCAAAATGGGTAGGCATATTTTAGGCCTGGAATTTATTGAGGATGAAGAAATAAGTGCCATTTCGATGTGAATATTTTTCTTTTTACTTTATCAAATGGTAAATTTACTTTGACATGTACGAAAAAAGCAGTGCTGCCAAACTTTTTTCAAACATTGTAACCAGTTCGCCAGAATACCAAATTCAATTTCGGGTGTTAGAGAAAACTAACAAAATTTACTTCACGGGTAACATTGAGAATAGGCCTGTAAGTCTTTCTTTAGTCTCTTCAGTTTAATACCCACATTGTATTATTTCATTTATTTGTACATTTTTTTAATTGATTTTAATTTATTCTATGTACACGTATGTATATACATACATATTTTTTTCAAGACACATGCTTAATCTGCCATAAATCGTTAAGATTCTGCGTTCATCTGGTACATCAGAAATCGTACGCTAGACCTCAACCAATGCATGTTCGGTTGGGTTGAGGTCGAGTGATTGAGAGCTCCAGTTCCAGAAAATTCTTCCTGATAGCTTCCTTTGTTAACGTTTATTCCATCACTATGGAAGAGGATACACCTAATCTGGCCCACATTTAATTATAGAATGAGAAGAAAACCTTGAACAGCAGAGCAGTATTACGTCGTCTAATAGTTCTCTGCTCCACAGAGCCAACGTATTGATCACATGCCTTCATCTAAATTCGTAAATATACTCTGAAAAGTAACGGTATATTTCCAACTATTCCGCACTTACTAACTGACATTTCATAAAGCTATATATAGAACTTATCTTTCTTATTCAAAAGTTGGTTTTAACAAGGATAGAACAAAATATAGCATATGGAAATGGTATGTGATCTAATAGTTGACATACTGTATAAGCGTGTGTATGTACATATATGAAAATTATAAGAGTCCCGCCCTCCCTCCAGCTCCGGAATAAAATAAATCATCTGCATAAAAGTCGAAATATCCTGTATACATTTTTATAAATTAATATAGAATATTTATTTTTAAATTCACAATTATATTAAATTTCTGTTTCTTTTCTTTTATTGCAGATAATTAATCATGTGAAACGTTAAATTTGAACTCTTGGGAGGCTATTGACGTCTTAAATAATTTTCAGCACAAGACCAGCACATTAACGTACACAAGCAAGTGGAAAGCGTTCTGTCTGATTGTATTCCTAATCTATTGCTGTAAGCGTGGTTCGCTGCAAAAATGTCGGACGTTCACGTTTATAAAGATGGCGACATCGTTTGGGTGAAGCTGGGCAACAATTGGTGGCCGGGCGAAGTGACCGATGTGCATCGCCAACCTGATGATTTGCTAAATCAACTAAAGAAGAAACCATATTGCGTTGTAAAATTTTTCCAAGAAGATGCCTAGTCAGTATAAATAAAATATTTTATAAAAATTCTATAATATTCTATAAATAAATGCTTATCTTATTCCCTATATATTTTTAGCGAATATGTGAAGAGTGCGAAACATATATTTCCATTCCACTGCAGCAAAAAAGATGAGTTCATCAAAAAGGGGACTGGTGAGTGCATGTCTACTAGTACATACAACATACATATGTTGTTATTGTTTGTGTAGCTTCTTATAACAGTAAAATGTCTACTATCTGTTTATTTTCCTTAGCATTATATAATGCAAAAAACAAATTTATGGAGAAGTTCCCCTCAGATGTCCAGATAGCAGAGCGTTTAACACGCAAAGCTGCAGAAGGAGATTTACTGATTATCAACGATCGTCCAGACAGTATTGTGAAGGCCATATTGGGACCAACATTCACGCGACGTAGTAACGATTACTATGATAATGAATACAACAGTACTTCTACAACTGAATATAACAATAAGCGCAGAAGTGGGGTATGCTCAGAACATTTTGTTATTCTTATTAAATAATTATTATATTTTGCATACAAATTATTAAAGACTATTAAAAAATTTACGTAATTTGTAATATACATATGTATGTATATTGTGCAAGCTCCGATACAAAAATTATTTAAGTTTATAGTCATAATTTCAACTTTTAAAGAGAATAACCTAGTTGCTCAAAATATCGAACCCAATTATTCTTTTACCTCGTTTTCGTCAATACTAAGGATTTGGTTAATTTATGAAATTTCATATATCTTTGGGTCAATGAATAACTTATAAATAGGTATAATAGCTACCGGCTAGTTAAACCCCTCCCTGGAACAAAAAAAACTTGTCTATGTTGTCGAGGTCAGTTTATGAGAAACCCAACAAACGAGCTGTTTCAACGGGTTCAGTCTATATATATATAAGTAATTGTGCCAGTATTTCCCTGGCCTGGCGAGTTGCATAAGTCGGGGTCTGGATAGATAGATCTGGATAGCAATTTAGTTGACTCCAATTTCCGAATCCAAATTGTGCCAGTATTGCGCTATTTTCGTGAAGTAGCTCGAGAGCTTGGTCTGCTATACGTTCCGAGAACGTATGTCAAAGGCGTTAAGGATCTGTCCGTATGCTTCGGGTCTATGCGGCTGTATATAAACCTTAAAGTCGAGTACTGCTTTTTTGATGTGCCCTAATCTTAACCATAGCATATATGTTTACTGTGTGAGTGATGCATAAATGACATTTTTAGGGTTCTTGGCACGGTCCTCAGGACGGTTGCCTTATTGGTTCCAAGCAACGTTTCTTCACTTTCTCCCAGTTGCTGCCGGCTATGGGTATGACTTAGATAATTTGGCGATTGTAAGTTGAATGAAGCAATGCAGGTTGTCAAAAAGTAAGGGAAAACTATTTTTTACACTTTTGTAATGGACTTGGAATTTTCTGTGCTTCAGGTGCATCGTAAGGTGCCAACTAGGCCCCTCTTGTTAGTTTCTTCGTTACCGAAAAAGTTTGCTATGACTTGGAACTCAGGTCGATTGTTCTGGCAGCAAAGTTACGGCTTTCTACAATAATTGACGTCTCTGGAATTTATTGGCGACAGTAAAACCAGTGATGCCACCTAGTTGACCCAGTATTTTTTTCCCCCATATTATACCATATTATACGGTAGTTGTTCTAGTACCACCAGACCTGGAGTCGTCGTTTTTTCTGCCATTGATTTTAAAAAATTTTCAGTTAATCCCTAGTTAATCCTCTTTTATTTGTATTTCTTTAAACAAATTCATTTATTGGCTATACTTTCTAGATATAAACATTTTTTTTAATTTCGTCCATTTTTTATGTAACATTGCAGGATTCTGTGACGAAAATTCTCAACATAACACCAAAACGTGAAATAACAAACCCAACAACAACTAACCGAAATGTAGATATAAAACAACTGGTCTCACCGCTGCCAACACCGATGTATGTTGCAAATAAAACTGGGAACGCAAACAGCGCAGATACGAACTTTTATCGGTGTAATTTATGCGAATTCTCAAGCCAACGTCAAAATGTTATGATACTGCATCGACGCACACATAGTGGTAGTAGTGGTAGCTCCCTGACATCAGCCTTCACACCTTCAACGTCAAGTGCGCGCAAAATAGTTTCAGCGACCGTAACGTCAGCAGAAGATTCTAAAGAGTCAATTAAAGTCCTCCATGGCACACCACCAACACCAGCAACATCAACGAAATCCTCACCAACGGCTGTGAGTGATGATGATGAACGCAAATATCCTGCAGCATTTGACACCAGTCAGGTACAAATAGCTAAGTTAACACATAACACGAAAACACCGGCGAATAGACGCAGCGTTGGCGGCAGCAGAAACAGACAACAACTTTCGGCCAGTGGTGAACGAGTAAGCCGTTCACGTTCGTTGCGCATTGATGCTGATGTCAAAGAGATTACTCTGCCAGATGGCATGCCGATTACGTCGGCAAAAGGAGATCTTAAATTGAGTATAGATGACGATACTACCGATAACTCATCATCGCATACCGCTGAGGAACTGCTGAGATCATGTAGTCCTCGAAAGCATAATGTGGGTTTAGGTGAAACAGACAACGGTGCTGCGGTAATAAAAAGCTCAGCCGAAGAAATACGTCAACGTCTCTTGGCTGATTGGAGTGACGGTGAAAAAGACGATGAAATGGATGATGGCTTTCAAACGCATAACAACCAGTACGCATGCTCCATCACTGAACCGAAAAGCGATATTAATAACTTAATCAAAACGCCGGGAACAGATATAAAAAACGAAGAGTTGGTATCTAACACTGCGACCCCAATAAGTGCAGGCATAAATAGTGGTTCATCTCAACGCATCAGAAACATACCGAAGAAGGATCGCCGTGATGCGGTACTGAAAGATTTCAACAACGAATATACTGTAGAGTTGCCTACTGTTGTAGACGCAGTAGTGGAGAATATCAACTACAACAGTAGCAATAGCTCCGACTCAGTGGTTGTGGTCGCGGTGGTACCTCCGAATAGTGGTGAAACCATTATACTCGATGACAATACAGGCACAGATGGTGAGACCGAGCCTAATACAGACAAAGGGACATTGCCTAGCAATGAAATGCCGCCTACTGCTTCACCTTTCAAAGCCTTACAAACACAGCAGCTTGGTGTTGGAGATGAGTTGCAGGAGGAATGCTTAGTTACAAAGAGCACTAATGTTCCAGATTGTGAACAAGAGTTAACAAGTGAGAAAGATGCTATTTCTTTACCCACTGATCCGACACTGAAAACGGGTGAGCATATGCAAGAAGCATTACAGTCCGAGCAACCACAAAGCGAAGAAAACGAAGATATTACTGTTGAGAATACGGCCACCGAGGTAGGCCCGCTTGGCGAACCATCAAGTGCAGACAACAAAAAGTTGACAAAAGCAGAAAACGAAGATGGTCAACCGGACGAGTGCGCGCAGAAACCTAGACAAAAAAGTCGTGGAAGAAGGCAGAAATCTAATAAAAGACAACGAAATAATACGAAGGAAATGGCGAAGCAAAGTTTAGAAACCACATCGAAGGTGGAAGAAACACCAACGCTCGTGGAAGGAGTACAAGAAGCAGATGAACCCACATCGCTACCACGCTTAAGAGAAGAGGAAATACCACAGACAAGCATGACAGCAAAACGACAGGTACGTGCCGATTGCTTTGACTTCCAAGAGGAAGAAGAGGAAGAATGTAACGATGCTTTAAAGTCAATAGCCGATTTCAAAAAGAAATATCTCTCTCCCGATAAATCGCAGGACAAAACTCTAGCCGATAATTTTCCACCACACGAGAGCAGGCGTCGACTTTCCACTGAGCAAAAGGATCAACAGTTGGCAAACGACATTGAGAAGCTGCTCGAACAAACCACGGCGCCTAGTATTGTTGAAACAATGCCAGCTGGTATAGTTGTGCGTACACATTCGTACGGCGGCAGTAGCAAGGAAGAATTGCCAGTTAAGGGTTTGCCCATTAAAGAACGTGGTAAGCGTATATTCAAGTCGCGAAATCGTTCAAGAATTGAAGAGTCTTGCACATTAGCAGCAGCAATACCGGCAGACATCGTGCAACCAGCAGAACAAACAACGAATATGGATGGAGCGCAAGTAGAGGAAAACAATACAGCTGCATTATCTTTTGAAAACCAACCAGAGCAGTCGAAACAGCTCGTAGCAGGAAGCGAATTTGATACTAGAATTGAGCAACATAATCAATTCGACTGCATAGATGATGCGGATATGGCTGATGATGTAAGCGCACAACTGCTCACGGCAATTGCGGCACCAAATGAAACAGGGAGAGTTATCAGTTTAAGCGAGATGGAAGAAGTAGATCAAGATAAAGAGAATGCCGGAACTGAGGATACCGTGCGCACCGATTATACCGAGGAAACAATTCTGAAAGCAAAAAATATCAATAACGGTTCTTTGGGCCATCAAACGACAGTGGAGATATTGTGCAATGCAACTGTGGAGGTAAAGAAATGCGAGAACGAGGAAGTTAATGGCGACCTTTCTAGTGCTGCCGAGCCACATGTCGAGAGTGTAGATCACTTGCAAATATCAAACCGTAATACTGAACCTACTGGACTAAGCGCTGAAAATGAACTTGACTCTTCAATGTCAGTAATGCCAAAAAGCGGTGAAAAAGATGAAAATCATTCGTTACATAAGCATTTTGAGGACGTGACAGAATCAAACTACGAAAGTCTCAGTGATAAATCTAAAAATCTTGAAGAATCTGAGAACTTGGAAGACAATTGCAACTTAGCTTCAGAAGTGCAAAGAGACGAGGCTGATGGTGAAGTAATATCAGAAGCAGATCTTAAAGAGGAAATTTTTGCCAATACTTCTGTCGAAATTAATATCAACGCCTCAAAGGAAGACATTAACAACGATGTAAGTAAACTTGAATCCTCAACGCCTTCAACCGTTGTAATTCAACAAAAAGATAGTTCAATGGGCAATCAAATATCTGTTACCGAGTCTCCAACTGAAGTAGTACTAGCGGAGCAAAATAACAGCGGCCACATAATGGAGGAGGATCAACACAGAAGCATTCTAATAAACGAAGAAGTGCCGCAAAGTCGTCTCACATCACCAACTGACGACAACAGTTCGGTTTGTATCTCAGAAGCTGGTGCCGAGTTTGGTTCACCAACCTCAATGCTGGACGATGAACGTTTACCTACGTTGACTGGTAGGCTTATGACGCCAACCGACGGAATAGTGGAGACAGTGCCTGCGCGAGCCACAGAAGCGAAAATTATTAATGAGCAACAGACGCAAGTTACTGGAGAGTGCGAGAAATTAGATGGAATACTAATTAACGAAAAGGAAGTGGTTACCGAAACTGCGGTTGGTGCAACAGCTGGCGAAATTCAAGCACATAACGAAGAGGAAGTAGATGTGCTACAAAGTGAAACTGTTTCTAGAGTTATTGCTGAAAATGCAGAAAGCGCAACAACAACACCAGGAGTTGTAGTCGAAGAGGCACTTGCAGCAAACGACCCACTCGTAGAAGGGTTGAAGGAAAAGGGAGATGCACATGAAAGTGCTCAACACATTGTATGTGACTTTAATGGCGGTAAAGTTGTTCACACTACCAAGAGTGAGAGTAATACAGAAAGCTCTGCTGAGAGTAACGAAGATGTTGTACTTGAAATGTCTGCTGAATTAGAGGCAGGCGAACTGCGAAATGTGGTGCAAACGACTAATGATAAGCACACCCTCCCAAGTGAGACCACAGCTGAGCAAGAGAGAGATAATATTGAAGGCTTCAGCACGCAACAACACAACACACACGTAGCAGCTGAACAACAACCGGTTAAAAATAATAGCTTAAAACAAGATTTGATAGAGGAATTGATATCTAAGGAAGTATTAGCAGCACAAGTGCATATTGAACGGTCGCAAGCCGAAGACTCCGACATTGACGATGACTTTATCGAGAGTCCACCACATGAACCGCTTTCTGGACATGAGGGTGAGGCAGAACCGTTACAAACAAAAAATAAAATGTTAACTAAATCTCAAAAGCGCCATTCGTTGGGGGAACAACACAATTCTACTGGCAACTCATCCGCAGTCATTTTAGAAAATACCAAAGAAACGATTAGTAGAAAGCGGCTATCTCGAACAACTAGAGTACACGAAAAATCTCATAATTTCATGAAAGAGCTCGATCTTATCGATTTACATGATGCAACAAAGAAGGGTGAAGATAACGAAAGGACATCCGCAAAGGAACAACAAATGTCGTCACGTCAGAACAAACGAAAATCAACGAGATCATCGAAATTGGTCGAAACAGTGAACGAAGCAAACAAAAAATGCGAAACGGATGAATTAGTTACTGCTTGCGCCCAGGTAGTAACCGATGATGCAAACACTGAAGAAGAAATAGCATTTTGTCAGACACTAAACGAACATGCGTCAGCTGAAAAGCAACACAAAGGCGAGCAGTATTGTGAAGCAAGTGGCGAAGATACAAACTCACCTGCCTTAAAATCTAATTCTTCTCGCAAGCGACGTGGCATAACAAAATCAGCTCTTCGTCGTGACGTAGGAGCAGCTCATATTTTCACTAACCCAAATGCAAACCGCGACTCAGTTGATGAAGACACACCGATACAACACACCAAAAGCAGAAGAGTAGATAGTCCAGATAATGATAGCGGTAGCTTTGAAATTATTCAAACAACTGAAGATATGAAAGACACTTCAGTCGAAGTAGCTAACTATGAGAATATATCTGAAGTGGTGGAGCAGGTGGAAGTAGTCGAAGATGGTGAAGGCAATGATAACAATGAAGCGACTAGTTCTTTGGTTTTGGAAGATGATCAATGCATAATTGAAGAGGTGTATTTAAACGATGCAATGTCTATGCAGCAAATAGCTTTACAAACGGCCCCACTAAATAATGCTACACTCGAGGAGGCCGGCACAGAATCAACACACTCTGATTTAAATTCATTTCGTACAATGGAGGTACCAAATGCTGTGGAGTTTGTAGACTACATCTCAATTGATCAACAACAACCAATAGAAGAGGTGATAGTCGGTGCAAATAATAACGTGGAGGCGATGGTTGATAATGATACACCAAACAACTTCAACAATAGTTCAAATGTAGTGAATACAAGTTCGAATAAACAGCGAACATTGTCCTCTACACTCACTTCTCAGCCAAACGCGGAAAACGTGAAGTAAGTGTTATATTTTCTTTGAAATGTTTGTTTCAAAATTATTCGGATATTTCAATAATGTCACATTCTTACCTCTTTTCCAGTATCAACGTTTCCCCCATGGAAAAGGTACGCATTGATGTGGACGTCGCCAATCCACTTTCCACACAAATAGCCAATATTTTAGCAACAAAATCTGGCGCATCATCTAATGTTAAACAAAGAAAGTCTAACCTGGAAGATTCTATACCCTCCTACATAATTGAAAGACCTAGCCAAGGCGTTGGCGCACACCAACAACATAGTACGTCTTCTACGCTGGATTTTACGGGCGAACAAGATGCCGTTGCGCATGTGCAACAAATGTGCCCCCAAGTGAAAATCACACGCAAGGAGAAGTTTATTGAAGTGCGGCAAACTAGTGCAGTACAACAAGAATCTGTTGTTGCGACCACAGCAGGAGCGGTATTCGATATCAATAATATGCCAATTGTTCTCGGCAATGAGCACTTTATGTCCGCACAGGGTGACATGCAAATTGTGTTGACGACATCCACAGAGCCGGAGGGACAAATGTTGCAAGATGGTCCTCACATTTTACAACAACAAATCATACAACCTGCTTACAGGTCGGGACAGCATCGAAAACGTAAGAGTTCCACAAATCAGCACCAACAACAGCTGCAGCAGCATCAACAAAGCAACAGCGCAGGTAGCAATAAACCTGGAATAATTATAATCAAGGCAAGTACAAGTGAATTTCCGACATCGTCCACAGACACAACAACCACTTACAATTTGGGCTCGGGTGTGACACTGCGTCCTATAGCTGAACCAAAGCAGAAGCGTCAACAACATCAACAACAAGTGAAACAGCAGCAACAACAACAACAACTGAAGCAGCAGCAGCAGCAACAGCACCAGCAATTGACAGGTCGCAAACATGTTGGCAAAACGATAACATTGCCTAGTAGTATAACTGTAAAACAACGTCAGCAAATAGTGACTGATGATGCACCAAATCCCGCTGAATTAGCGTCAACACCATCAAATGTGGTCGCCAGTGATCAGCAGCTGCTACAACCACCATTAAATACAACAAGCGGCAACCGAACGCAAAAACGTAATCTTCCAACGACGAATTCACGTCGCCAATCACAATCACAGTCGCAGCCAGTTCAAAAACGGCGTTTAACTGCCACTGCCAGCAATGCAGTTGAGCTGCAGCAGCATGAGCAACAATATGAGATTGGCGACGATGCTGCAATACTGAATCGGCGGCTCAGCTATCATGATGGAAATGCTCAGCCACCAGCTAAAGTTCATCGCTTGACCGCGCCAGAGCCAACGGCATTCGATAGCAGTCTCAATGAGCCAACGTTTGTGACGGCAGCGGAGCAGCAACTATTACAACTACAAGAGCAACATCATCTAGTACAATCGCCAACAACGACGCAGCCACCTCCCCTACACCCGCTTAACAATCGCAAGCAGCGTCGTTTGTCGCAGCACAATCGAAGAATGAGTACGAAAGTCGAGGCTCCACCACCACCGCTGAGGGTTGACGAACAACAGGAGCAGCAGGAAGAACAATTGGAGCATACGCAAATGGTGTTGTTGGATCCACAAGAGTGCTTAGAGCTGCATCAAGAGCAGCTACATGCAACTGCAATGCGAATAGCGGATTTCGTGTCATCGCCTTCAGTACACCTGCTCCCAGCGGACGAAGAGAGTGATAACGACGAACCTGTTGTCTATACCGAAGAAATTCTATCTGCCCCAATTGAAGAGGATGAAGTAAGTAATAATTTCTGTATACGATTTGTTTTTTTTTTACAGATTTATGACTGCCGGAGACGGGCATATTTGAATAGTACTGCCATTGCCAATATTTCTTCCGTTGACTATTTTAGTTAGTTTAAAGAGCTCAAACAAAGCTATGTGCTTCCAATATAATATAAATATTAAGAATATATCACTACTCTAGGAACAACATCAGCGTTGGTTTGGAAATTCTGTAGCGTTTTGTTTACAATTTTTTTTTTCTAGTTTCGACATGTATGATTTTCAAATTTTAATTTGATGTTTTTTTAAATAGGATTTATACACTTTTTTTATTGCAGTAATAAAAGTAATCTTTTTTTTAATATATACGCATAAAAATAAAATATGTTCATGTGACCGCGATGGCCGACTGACCGGACGGCTGAATAGATTTCGTTTGTGAGTTTCTCCCCTAAGTTGTGGTTTTGCGTATTGATGTTTTTTCAACAAATGGAGGTCCCTACAGTCAATGCTAAGCCGGCTGATGGTTTTTTTTTTTTGGGAGCCTTTATTTCATGTCAGAATTACACTCAGAGGTGTTGACACTCCCTGCCGAGAGGCGGCCGCAATTAGAAAATGTAATATAATTTTCTATATAAATTTTCGGATGTTGGTCGCACCAGGATCTCAACCCGGGCCTTCCAAATGGCATTACGCAATGCTAACCACTCAGCCACTGCGGCGAAGTATTTTACCTTACTTACTTTTCTGGCTTGGACTCTGCTTAAGCGATTTTAGCCGAATTTATAACACTGCGCCATTCATTCCGTTTTCTCGCTGCTTGGCGCCAAGGTAGGAGGTACCAAGTAGAGCCAGGTCCCTCTACCTGGTCTTTCCACCGGCGAGTACTGCCTCGCAAACTTTCAAAGCTGGAGTACTCTTTATCATTTTATTATTCGAGTTAAAGCTGGTCCCTAGAAAGACGAAATTATCTACGGCCTCGAAGTTATGACTGTCAACAGTAACGTGAGAGCCGAGTCGCGAATGAGATGACTGTTTGTATTTGTACTTTGTCTTGCCCTCGTTCACTACCAGACCCATTCGCTTCGCTATCGCTATCAAGTCTGGAGGAAGCAGAATTCACGGCGCGGTTGTTGAAGCCAATAATGTCAATATCATCGACGTACACCAGCAGCTGTACACTCTTAAAGAAGATTGTACCTTCTCTATTTAGCTCTGCAGCTCGTATTATTTTCTCCAGCTATAAGTTAAAAAAGTCACACGATGAGGAATCACCCTGTCTGAAACCTCGTTTGGTATCGAACGGCTCGCAGAGGATACCAAATTCCGACAAAGCGGCGTAAAATCAGCCCCTATTCATACTTTCGAAGGTGGCTTTAAAATCGACGAAGAGGTGGGGTGTGTCGATCCTATTTTCACGGGTCTTTTCCAAAATTTGGCGCATAGTGAATATCTGGTCGATTGTTGACTTACCAGGTTTTAAGCCACACTGATAAGGTCCAATCATTTTGTTGTTGGTGAGCTTTAGTCTTTTACAAAATACGCTCGACATGGCCATATAGGCGATATTAAGGAGGCATATCCCTCGATAATTGGCGCAGACTATGGGGTGCCCTTTTTTATGGTTTGGGCACACTTGAATTCCAATCGTCGGTCATGCTTTCGTCCGACCATATTCTGCCAAATAGCTGATGCACGTTTTCAAGACCTACACCGCCGGTAGAGTGTCCGTTTCAGCCGCTTTGTTGTTGTTTTACGCGAAGTATTCGCTTTTGGTATTTTTCTAGTTTGCGGTGTGATTCTTGTCAGTCGTTCCATCGTTCATCGTTCTAATAGTACTACTTTATTTGGTTTTTAGGTCCTGGTGTGGCAAGTGTGTCGGCTGTCTGCAGTAAAGGTTGTAAAGCGTCCTTCAATTAGGAATGAGGTATTCGCCAAGGTTGTGTAATACATACCTGGTAAGCAATATCAATAATCTTTCATATAGAAAAGAACCTCAGGAGAAGAGCAGCACTTTGTGACCTTAAATTGTTCGGCCATCAAAACTTAGACTCAGATTGTCCAATTAACATGCTAAGCGCCGAAAGTAATTGTTCCGGCTTGGCAGATATTGCTTTCTGGTAGCCCTTTGTCATTTAATGGCGTTTTTCATATTTAAAGTTAATATTTATTGAAAAACTTTTACATTAAAGCAAACAATTCTGAAAACTTTTTAAACTACAAGTTATTGGGAACGCATACGATATATTTACTGCACATATTGATAACAAGGGTATGTTGTAACGAGTCCCCGCGCTACAGCCCCGCGCTACACTATCCACCTCTTTACATGCCCCTCTAAACCGACACATCTTCACCCCGCTTTCTTTGGTCCGAACTCGTCGAAAAAATTCGTTTCCTGGACCTCCCATTAGATGACCTCGATGGTTTGGGTTAGATAGAACAACAAGGATGGTTTATTGCTTTTTTGTATTTGCATACGTATAACATGCAAATTATTTTGTGTTAGTCTTTCAGTTAGGCTTTCAGCTGGTAGTTGAGGTTATGTGTTAGTGAATGACGTTTTCGCTTGGTTAGGACGTGTACGAATTTAACTTAAGCATACAATTACTTAATTTATTTGAGGTAAAATTATTTATATGTCTAATTTGACCCTGCTCTCTTCATTACTTTCCAGCACACTCCATCGGTAATGGCGGTGCCATCACAAGCAGTACCCGGTTATCCGGAAACTTTGCTACTATGTCGGAGAGTAGGCGATGAATGGGTACCGATTGTAGCTCAGCCTTATTACTACACCGTATGCGACCAGCAATTGAGACCCATACCCAAGGAAGTGCTTATTGGTCATCCCATACTGACACCAGATGCAGACAAAACAGTGGAGCTGACGCCAGCGCCACAAGTCGTAATAGAGGATACGGTCCATATACAAATCGGTACAGAGCAATTAAGTATGGGTTATCCACAGTTTTTTGAGGTAATGCGTTGTACTGAAAGTGCACTCGATTTGCAAGACGAATCCGGCAATGTAATTCATCTTACCCGAGAAATGATGGATTCAATCCAACAAGATGAAGGTTTTCAAGAAAAATTCCGACAACTGCAACAGATTTGGGAAGAACAACAATTAGCGGAGCAACAGCAATTAGAAGAGCAACAACAATTGGAACAACAGTTGTTATTACAACAAATGCAATCAGATGAGGAACTAGATCCCAATGACATGACAATGCTACGAATAGACACTTCACAAGGGATTCAAATTTTAGAATCTCCCGACTCCAATTACATAATTCAACAGTCCATAACACAGCCACCACTTTCGCCTCCATGCACACGACCGGCACTTACAAATGCTACAAATGCGCTACTCAACCAAACGCCCATCATGTCACCACTGGAAAAACCATCAACCGCCGTTCCTGCTGCACTCTTGGCGGAAAATTCTGGCCAACAAATCGACATAACGTCAACAACAACAACGCCCGAACAACTGATCGCAGCTGGATATATAGCAGGCGATACATCAAGTGATACGTCAGGTTATCGCCCAACTCTGGGGGATAGCCTAGCCGCATTAGGTGTTGTACCAACTCAACCTACACTGCTACCCACCACAGTAACCAATCCGGCCATTGCGCCACCAAAGTCTGATTTAATACCGAATATGGCAACCGCTGCACAAATGCACGCGCAATACCGTCATGCACAACGTGCAATATACAACGACCCCGGAAGTTAATATTGCCCTAATTCTCTTTATGTAGAAAATCCGCCCAATAGCTTTGTAGAGGATTTGCGTAGGGCGGAGAATGGTGCGGCTGATATTGGCGCTGATGCAAGTGTTGGAGAACCTGTTGGTCCTAGTGTGGAGCTGGGTGTGGATGAGATAAATGATATGGAGATGGAGGATATAAATATGGATGCAAATGTGGTAGGTTTTAATGAACATTATTTTTACAATTAGACAGTGTACCAAAACACACACCAACCACATTTCTCTGAAAGTATTTTCTCCAACTTTAAACTAATAAACTTATAAATGTACATAAATAATATAAAATACAATAATACATATTTACAAACGTGTGAGATTTAAATTTATTATTTAGTTCTAGTCTATGACTGTATGTACGTGAATATACATATATATTAAAGCAACAAAAAAGGAAGTACCTTTATAAGTGGTACTTATTTGTGAGTTTAGCTTCTGTCTTATATTATATATTAGCAAAATAATGATATTCCATAAAGTTAGTTGAGAGGAGAAGAATGAAAATGTGAAATGCGACCAATTGCTATCGTTCGTCGAAGGCTGTCTTGTATTTTAGTTTTGTCTTCCCATTACCGGTTTTATCCCATAAAGTTAAAAGTTGAACGTGGGTTATTATGGCTTTTCAGTGCAAAATTTCAATCGCCTGTTTAACCAGTTCCATCGCTTTTGCAATTGCACAGTCGGTAACTTTTTTGGTTCATGCTCAGAACCAAAAGTTAAGTTAAGTCAATCTCCATTCGTTCCCTAGCTAGGTCATCACTTTCTTCACTAACAGTATACCAACGGAACATTGTTTTTAAGTAAGCACTCTGGCCAGATATTTCCTCAACTTCCACTCTTACAAGTCACTTTAATTTCTTTCCATGCGAAATCAATATTATCAAAAGCCTTCTCGATATTGGGACCCTATAGTTCGACTACCTCGGTTCACAACTAACAATTCAACTAGCTCTAATGAGAGAGAGTACTGGACATAAGCCTTAATAAACATCCATTCGCTTTCCTAATGAATTCAATGAATGACTGGTGCAAAGTGGTTGATTATTTCCTTATTGCCGCTGAGTTAGCGATATCGTTATTTATTAAAGTAAATACACTTGTATATTTATATTTATTATTAAATTAATTATAAGCTAAAAACTAACAAGCTCACAGTGTTTAAGGAAATTAAATTATTCATTTTTATAAAAAGAAAAACCGTGAGCCGCCTTGTCATCAACTTACAAACTAAATAGTAATGTGCCAGACACCAAAAACTAAAAGATTATTCCGAAAATAAATTTTTTCTTACTTAATATTATTTTTTTATTCGCCTTTTTTTTGCAACTGCATCGCCTTCTTTGGCTGCTCTTCAGGAGAACCTTCCGCTTCTCCAATAAAAATGGATTCTGGAAAATTTTTGGGTTGTTTGCAATTATATGAGTTAAGCGTTAATTTACTTTAATACACACCAATTAGCACTGAAAAAGAGATTTGCAGGGTTTTAATTCGTGCTTAGCCTAGTTCCCTGTCAATTGTGAGCTCGTCAGTAATTATGTTTCTAAAATTTTTTCCTACTTCCCGGCAGGAGTAAACTTATGGTTATGACCTAAAATAAGTCAAGAATTTGCAACACTATTTTGTGGTAATGGGGAATAGCTTACATCCCGTCCTGTTTTATTGTTGCTAGACATAATCAATTTAACGTTGAAATAAAAATTCAAGGCGTGTGTCCTTGTCGTGGTTGCTGAAATCTCGTTTAGTTATTTTGCGAGGGGAAGGTCTATGCATCTTCTAATATTTTCTTTTATTTTTTTTAATTTGGCCATAACTGTACCCTTTATTCAGTAATTGGACTACATTTAGATAATTACCACTACTAATAGTTGATATCCCTCCAAGAAGGCTTCCGAACATTTGAGCCAACATATGTCAGGAATGCATGATGACATATCTCGTCAACTCGTAGAACGATTTTCCTATCACTTCCTTAAGGCCGAAATGACAAACGTGATGTTTACATTTGTATACGTGTACGTCATTCTCTCTTCGTTTCCTTGTGCATTTTTGTCATCGTCGGACGAACTGACGAGAAGTCTTTAATAGCAGCTCCTCAGCTTCATGAACGCCTCCGTCATAATCGCAGCTACTTTGAAGTATAAAGAAATCTAAGAAAAGTTTTGTTGAATATTTTTGATATGTGCTACTACTGCAAGATGAGAAGCGTCCATTCTACTTAACCTGTTTTATTAACAGAATTTTCTGTCCAATATGGAAGTTAAAGTCCTACAGTTGATTACACTTAAGAAAATGATCGAGTCATCAGCTCGCTTTAATTAAACAAAGGTTAAATTCTTTTTCACAACGCTTTATTATACAATGTAAATGTTGCGAACCAGTTAGCTTTGTTCTCTAGGTAACCCAAGAGACGTATGTTTCCGGACGTCATTTCATGAACGAGATTGAGATTTACCGCCAGGGTTTTGTTAGTTATAGCAGACAACACAGATGGGAGCACCTGAGCTGCTGGTACTCCAGTAGGTTTGGTTATTGATTGCTATCGTCTCATTTTCCATCTGTAGAATATAAGAACCAGAGAGGTGTTTAGGGGTTTTACCTGACCATAGGTGCTGTTGATATTATCCAGGAATATTGTGTCTTCTTTAAGCACCTCGACTGTTGTATCTGTACAGGTTAGTTAGCGGCAACTTGTTTGACTTCCCTTGGGTAGGCGTGGTTAACATTCCTCTTCAGGCAGTAGGTCTAGCGCTTCTTGCTTGCAAACCATGGCGGTGGCGAGGTGTAGGCAGCTATTCTTGACACCATACGTCTGTTCTTTGTTCATTAAGATGGTCCTATACCTAAGATCCACCCGGTGACCATCCCTCAGAATTGCTCGTGTGATTAGGTGGTTGAACTTCGTTGGGGCTACAACTCGTAAAGTAAAAGAGTGCCATTGGTGTACATTGATGGTTCACTATATTCAATAACTTCGATGACGTTGCTATAGGGGAGAACTTCGATTTCGGTTATAAGCTGGTTTATTTCCTCCTTATTCAATAGGTTGCTGTTTACAATTCCTGCCTTGGCCATCTGACATGCTCGAATGAATTCACTAACACTCTTTAACAATCATAATTTTATGCTGATATCGTTTGTAGCCGTAGCCATACCATTTACAACCTGTAATAACTCTTGAGTTTTTTTGAATATTTCGGAGCTTACCTTGTATTGTAAGTTATTATTGGCGACTAATGCGTTTTGACCCCGCAGGTCTTCGTTCCAATCTAGAGCGTCAGATGAGACGGCAATCCACTTCCAGGCTGATCCAATACAGTTGATCACTTTAGGGCCCTTCAGCTCATCGAGTTGAGTTCGAATTTTCTCCAACTGATAGGTGACGACATCTGTGATAGCGTTGGTTTCGTTGATCCAGTTGACTTCGTGTTCTAGACGATTCACAATTCTTTCATAGCGCGTTAGGTCGATCATGTGGACAGTTTGAAGTGTCCGTTGACTACATATATACGACATATATATGACATATGCTGGTGCGTCTGCACAGAGGCAAAATCTACGAATTAGAGCAAATTGTTAACTTAAGCCTATTCCAATTTAACAAATACTTAAGAATGATCATCGTGAACAATTTCCTTGATAAAAGTTGAATTTGACTGCGAGAGTATTTTTCGTTAATAACAATTTTTTTCGCAATTCCAAGGTTATGGTCTTAGACCTTGTATCTTTTCCATTATTGTTTTTCTTGGCATTCGAATACAGACATGCACTCAGATGACACTGGAAGGCTCGCAGTGATCCCTTTTAGCCATAAGCGTTTCTAATTGCAAATGGCCTACTCATGACACGAGTGTCTTCACGTCAATTAAAGCCATAGTCCTCTAGTGGAGTTGGACCACTTCGATTGTCGTCACTCGAACCATCGAGTAAGCCGGAATTGAACCAGTAAGACTTGATCGAATACAAAACCTAATTCTGCACCCAAACCCTTGGGGCTTGAGGATCTACGCATGTGCTTTTTTTGTCTCTTGACCAATGTTATCTTTGTTTAGACGTTTTTCACGTCAGTTTAGTGGAATTTTTTCCCACTTTCGATTACAATTGTTACGTTTCTATTTTCAGTAACCTTTTCTTGTTTATATAATGGCTTGTGTTTGCCTTTTATCTGCTTATTTGCAATAAACAAATCGTTACTGATATTGAATTCACGCGGTGTTGTGCGACGGGCATTGATTCTCGCATTCCTGACGTCTTGCTCCTTTTGCAGTAGTGCTTTTATATTCTCGTTAGTCTTTTCCCTAGAGTTTACCAACCCTTGATAATTTATTCTGCTTGATCTATAGAAGAATATGTCCGTTGGTTTCCTCTTTGTAACGGAATGGATGGTGTTGTTATAGCGGTCTACTGCAATTGAAACTCGCTTTTTCGGAGTTAACCTACTAAACTCGTCCGCAATGCAACGATATATCTCTATCTGTGTTGAGTGTAAACGCTCAACTTGACCGTTTTCCTCGCTGAATGAATATAAAAATCCTCTTTCATTGTCCATAACTAGTACCTTAGGAACAGAGAAATAATGCAAGAGGCTTGTTAGTTTCTTGCGCAAATGGATTGATGACTTATTCTTTATAGCAAATACTTTTGCGAATTTGGAAAACTTGTCGAGTGCACTAAGGTACTTTTGCTTTTCAATCTCGAAAACGTCGATATGCACAATTTCGCAAGGTTAGCGTGGAATAGATGTTGGCTGGAGGAAAGGTTTTGACGGATGTCTATCATATTTGTTCAATTTAAATATTCTTTACTCTTTAGCATGATCCCTTATATGCCTGGCCATTGCCGGAAAGTAATATTCTCAAGTATCTGTAGCCTATTTTCACGGGCATTTCGATGAGCTCTTTTGTGCTCTTTCTCAATAATATCGAACACCCTGTCCGCGACAGTTACATCTTCTACAATCCTTTGCGTTATCCTCACTTTATATCTCTGGAAATCGTTGATATAAACCCTTTGTATCAGAGCAAGAAACCTTTCTGGAATTTTTATTGCGGTCAATGCAGCGCTGTTCTGTTTAGGTAATGAAATGAAAAACCTACGGTAGCCTTGAGGAACCTATTTCCTTCCCTAAAAATCAATTGATTCCTAAATACATTAATAGGGGCTTCTACGTGTGGTATTAAATCAGAATTATCTTGCTCAGCTGAATGCATAGTGCATTCGGTGGCAGTGTCAGTTTCTGATCCAGCCACATCTGCAGGGTTTCCCATAGGATTACACTCTGATGCTAATGATGGTTGAGCCACCACAGAATCGGTGAGAGCATAAACTTCCGTTTTCAGGCGTGAAAGAGCGTCAGCCACCACGTTTATTTTACCTGGCTTATATATAGTTTCGCAGTTGTATTCTTCAATTCGAGCTTTCCAGCGCTTCAGTTTCGCATTATAATTTCGGCAACTTAGGGAAAACGTTAAAGGCTGATGATCAGTGTATATTTTGATCTTCCTTGCGCCATACAAATATGATCTGAGGTTGTCCAATGCCCAAACTATTGCCAACATTTCTTTTTCGTTCGTGGCATAGTTTTCATCCGCTTTATTGAGGGAACGAGAGATATATGCAATGGGTTTTTCTGTCCCGATTTCCCCTTGGGACAACACTGCCCCGATTGCAAAGTTCGAAGCATCGGTTGTCAAGTTAAAAAGTTTGTCAAACTCTGGGAAAGCAAGGACGTCTGCGGAGATAAGTAGTTGTTATAGTTGGTTGAAGGCTTGTAATGCCTCAGCATCAAGTTGAATGCTAACTTTCTTTGACACAGTGGCTTTAATTTGTGCATTTTCCCCACGCGTCAGGTTCGTCAAAGGCTTTGCTACCTGGGCATAGTCACGAATAAACTTCCTCTAGTAAGATGTCATACCCAAGAAACTCTCGAGGTCTTTTGGGTTTTCTGGAGGGGAATTTTTCTTAATAGCCTCCACTTTTTTAGGATCCGCCTGCAATAATAAAACAATAATATCGTCAATATAGACGTAGCAAATTTTCCCAATATACTGTTTTAGTACGTCATCGATCATTCGCTGGAAGATTGCGGGCGCATTCTTAAGTCCAAATGGTAACCTCAAAAACTCGTACTTGCTGTTCATGGTCGAGAAAGCGTTTTAGGTACATCCGAGATTTCATGGGAATTCGGTGAAATCCTGACGTTAAGTCAATTGTTGTTCAGCTTCTTATAATCGATCACCATACGATATTCTTTTTCCCAATTTGCTTTTGGTTTTTTCGGTACTACCCAAATTGGTGA